GAACGGGCTGAAATCCCCACTCAGATGAAAGGCCATCTAATCATTTAATAGCATGTCCTGACTTATCTCCAACTAATTATGAAGGGGCAGCACAATTTGTCTGGGCTCAAACAAAAGCAAGTAGTTTGCATGCTGGGCAGGATCTGCGGAGCTGATAAACACTTGAGAATACTTGATCTGGGCTGCATGAAGATTATTTTTGCCTTCTGCAAATGCAGATGTCATCTCAAATCCAGGCAGCCACGATCCTGCAGGATGCCACCATCCCCTTGGATACCAACAGTCACAGCAGGGTTCACCAGACCCTCCTTGTGCTTCCCCACTGGGAGCAGCACATTTTCTTCCTGAACCTCTCAGAGGCCTCTACCTCTGCAAGACAAGACAAATATTCTGCCATCCTTGCACACACAGACACCTCCTGGACTTCAGCTGAGAGCCACCAGGAATCCCAGTGCACAAAGCTGGATTCCATGTATTTTGTTTTTAGACTAGAGTCAAGGTTTAACATTAGCAAGCACTACTGCAACACCAACCACCTTCATCCCAAATGAGAGTGAAGCACAGCCACCTACTGCTCTTGCTTCTCAAAAGGCTTATTTGGAGTGGTTGTACCTTGCCCACATATGCTGATTTCTCCTCCAGCTTCTGCTGACTCCCCTTGGGTACTTCGGTCTGGAGTCCCAATGTGGAAAAGCTCCAAAACTACAGTGAGGCACTGAAATGATTTTAAAAGTCTCTGTATTCCCCACTCTCAGGAGATGAAAAGCACTGAAGTTGTCAGGGGTCCTTCAGAGATGGCAGCGACCTGGGATGACCCACCAATCCCTTTGCAGAGCCTATGTGATCCTAGCAGTGCTCTCTAACCATTAATCACCCAGAGCTGCAGTTTTCAGCTCTCCAAAACAAGCCAACCCTGATGAAGTAATGAGGAATTATCATGAGCAAAAGCACAACAAGAATCTGGCCCTAAGCTTTTACCCAGTGAAATAAAAAACAGTCACCACCAACACCAACCACCTCCTGTGGCTGGGGACAGGGCACCACCACTGCCTGAGCATGGCAGGGCAGAAGAGATGGAGAATTGGGCAAAACCCAGCCCAGCCTGCAGCACTTTTGCTGTGCCAGCTCAGTGAGACACAGTCAGGGTCACCAGCACCATGTCCCAGCTTCAGGTCCCCCTGGGACACAGGCTGGAGCAGGGCAGGACCACCAGCAGGACCACCAGCAGGGCTTGTCCTCTCTCCAAATCCCTTCCCATTCTCCACAGTATCTATACAGCTGCCATTTTACTTGCAAGGTTGAAGCTTGACATGAGAAGCATAAACATAAAGTTGCCCATGGCCTCCAAAAGCATTGGTAGCTTCGGGACTGCCTGGGGAAAAAAGCCTCTGCTTCAGGGGACTGCA